ACATCGGAATACAGGTTATTGTTTTTTCTGACTCTGCTGGAAAGGTTTAAAGCCAATAAAGGCACGAATCCAAGTAATTCTGCGAAGGATTTCGAGCAGTATTTTCGCACCAACTACCTGATTCGAAAACAGATTGGGCACCGCAAAGGCACGTTCCATAATGAACAGAAAAATGTTTAGTAAACGGTACCATTTTGTTGAAATACACTTACTTCAACACAGCGAATGCACGCGTGGATTTTCTTATACTGTGTTTGATTGACATTGTTCAAGACACAAAAAGGGCGCACGAAGTAACGGTAAGCTGCTTGCAACCTTCCATCCGACAAACACCTGGCAATTACAGGATTACAGGTAACTCGTTGGAGGGGAAGTCGCAGATAAGCGAAAATCTAAAACTGCATAGAAGGTTCCTGGGATGCACTTTACCCTCAAAAGGGTTGTTGAGACCAAGTGGATAGTTGACCGCGACGCAGTACACAATACACCGCTAACAAGAATGTCCACCCATGCTCCTCATCAGGAAAAGTAGGTCCTTACTTGCTTTTTTTTCACTGCAATTAACTTAAATTTAATGCACATCGTCCACTTTGTAATCTATGTTCGTATGTATCGACGTAATAGTGCATAGACAATTGAAAAGCGCTTGTCTTGCAAACTCCTTCACATCTTTTAGATGCAGTTCCACGGTAAGTTCGATTAATAGCACACTTTCATTTGCTTCATTGAGTCACTTTGGAGGAGGAGCCCATAATAGAGAACGCAGCTGAAGTGGAAGTCAACGAAAACGCTCCGTCATCACCCCTACGCGAGGCCCAAGGCATTGGCTATTGTTCAGCTTGCGGAGAGGAGCTGGTTGCTGACTTTCACGAAAAATGCAGAGAAGTTAGATTTTAAATTGAAAGGGTGCTGTTGTTCTTTTTGTTCCAAGATATTATCTCCTGAAAAGGCTTTTGCAGAGACTTGACAGTATTGCTATCATTGTACGTCATCTCAAATGTATCCGAGTCGAAGAAGCTAGCGAAAAGCTTGCGCGAATATCCTCAAAAGTACAAGAAGCTTTGCACTGCGCTAAATCCTGTTCGTCTCCTAGTTTTAAACATTGGAAGACGTATTCAATGCGTTCCATACAACTTTGGAAGACACGAACTTCCCGTGACAAAAGATTCACTCACTATGGGACGTCCGAGGAATACTGTCAAACAACTTCGAATAGGAAATCTCAACGGTGCCATAGAGCGATGAAGGTAGGAATAGATTTTATGAGTTCGGAAATGTGGTTCACGTAGGTAAACACATATCAATCCGCGGCGACTAATTCGCGAGGGAGACGACTCCCACCATCTTTTGTCATGGAAGACATTGATGAAGATAATGATGAAGATTAATTTGTGGTTACTGCGAATCAGCTACCTCGCCAAATCACGCCTAAGATATAATCAATTAGGTACAGTGTAACTCTGCCACATCTGGACTCATCTAATTTGCGTGGAAGGACGACGATGCAAGAACTGCTCCGAGGGAACACTGAAACTTATTGAATGCGAGGACAAGTCAACTTTGTTTTTTCTTTTTTCTGCTCTTCCATTATTTGATTGCATTGGCACTTTTTGCACATTTGTACAGACACTCATCACTTCTTTGCATATTACGCAGTTCCCAACTAGTGATGTTCTTTTCATTCCTGTCTTAAGAGAGAAACAGCAATGTGACTGTGAATTTGCGATGTGACTAAATTGGTCACATCGCTTTTTGAGTTTTCACTTTTGCTGCTTCCGATTCTTTTTTGTCAAGTTTCATTCGAATTTCTTCCGCTACTTCCCAAATATCAAAGTAGAATTGCTTATTCACTTACAGTGTAACTGTGGAATACCTTTCTTAAAAAGACATTTGCCAAAGTTTATAAGTACCCTAGATCTGAAATGGGATCTTGATTCAAATTGCATCAACATACATTTTTCAATCTCATGTAATAAACTGCCAAGAACTGGTTCACTTTATATTCACTGTCGTCCCAGATTAAAAGAATTGACATACTTTTTATATTAGGTTGAACCGAAAGTTCGTTCTCACGATTTTCAAAAAATCATAACTTCTTTCTTTTACAGTGATATTGCAAGACGAGAACAATATGTGAAAGAGACAAGCGTGTACTTTTCAATGGCACCTTGCTCGCTCTTTGATTTGCTTTGGTTGCGGAGATAAAATAGGGAGAAATTGCTTTAATTTCGGAATTTTGAGGCTAGCTCGCTAAAAACTCTGAAACTGCGCCACAAAATTCAGAACAGGCAGTATCCTAGATTATTTGACTTCCTCTTACTGCTGAGCAAAGTTCGCGATGATCGAGCTGTTCTTTGAAAAGATGAATTTTGTTAGAAAATGTCAAGAAATCTTTTTTAAGGAACTAATTTTTCAGCATTTTTTCTCGAAAGTCATAACTTTTTTGAAAGAAGCTCAATCAGCGCGAATTTTGCTCAATCAGAAAAACGGATCAAAAACCTAGGTTACTGCCTCTTTTGAATTTTTTGGCGCAGTTTTGAATTTTGGACTTCAAGGGGCTTGCCTCAAAATTCCGAAACTCAAGTGATTTTCTTTTCCCAATATCATCTCTGCAAACAAAGCGTTTTAAAGAGCAGACAAGGTGGCCTCAAAAAGTACATGCTTTGCTCTTTCCAATATTGGAATATTGGAAAGAGCAAAATGCATGGAATTCATGGGATTCTGGCACATGATTGGGGACACCTAGGCGAAGCTCCATCCAGAGTGGTCCGGGTTCAGGACACTGTAATGTGATGTTACAGTAGTTAGCCGTAGATAGAAATAAAGCACAGATTTTAGTTGTTTTTTGCAAAATTATGCTGTTTCTGGAAATTTAAGTGCACATGAACGAGAATGGGCGAGCAAAAAACTGATGTCAGCCCGTCAATAAATAATCGATTTTATAGAATTTGTTGATTTTCTGCACTGTCCATCACAAAATGCTCAGTTCTTACATATATAGCTTTTGTAAAATACTGATAACGAAAGTGATGGTCTAAAGTTTGAATACCCCCTTCTTACATCAGTATTTTGATTTTTAGAATGGTGACTAGCACGTGAAAAGACTCCAAAACACAAATTTTTAAGATTCGTGATGTTGGGTTTGTACAAAGTGACTACCGTAATCCTACCGTATAATGCCAAAAATTGGAATTTATCTAATGAACAGAGCCTTCTACAACCCCTCTAGAAATTTTCGGAGACATGTTTTGAATTTCTTTCCAAAGACTACCATTTCGGACAATGCTACTCACGGGTGGGTGGTGGCCGAACAGGAAAAAACTTTGAGACAATCAATAAATCCAAATAAATTCTGATCCAATACAGTAGTATTCAAAAAATCGGCCTTGCTGTGAATGTGTTGAATACGTACAGATAAACAGTTAATAAACATAATTTTTTTGACTATAAGTGAAATGGTAAGTATATCTCTATAGACCATGGGCATAAGTAGTAGTTGGGTTTTATAAGTGGTAACATAGTTGATTTGACCATAGGTAAATGGTAGGAAAGTTATTCATCAGTACTCTCTTTCACATAGGACATCGATCCTCAATTTGCAGAGATGACCGAAGGCGGAAGAGTAGCGTCGCTTTCTCCATAGATTCCCTTTCGCTTATTAGCTGCTTTCCTGTTCCTTTCAGCCTCCTTAATACTCTAGGCCTAATTGTATTCAACAACAAAGTCAAGCTTCTCACCGTTGACAGTTTGCTACTATTCTCAATCTCTTCAATGTCTCTTTTCCTGCTTTTGTGTGTGCCACAGTAACAGCAGAGTAGCAGAATGAGAGTCGCAAATTCTAGAAGCGAGATGATGCTCATTCCCAAGAAGAGACCAACCTGCCCTCCAATATCTGAGACCAGATTGACGAGCTGAAGCGTTCATTGACAAAATGTTTTCAGAAAAAAATAGAAAAAATAATAGGCACCGAATATGAAGGAGATTCGGTGAGCACTTGATGGTTCATGCGTTCGTAGTATATTTCAACGAGCAAGGTGTTGCTGTTATACCATTCAATGCAATCCATTCCTAGCTGTTTCCATGGAAGATCTGCTGCTTCTGACATGCATTCAGTTGGCTAAAAGTGATTACGCAATCTTGGCTTTGATGATCATGAATTTGTGTCACAAATCTAACTGATAACCCATTAGACACCCTTGCTCTTAGACAAAGCGCTAGAACGTCAAACAGTTAGTTTTATTTGCTGATCCTTGTAAAAACTGCACAGAACGCAAGAGTAACTTCAAGCATGGCTGAATTAGAGCTGCTTATGGTGTGTTTAATAGAGATTTATGATAATGAGATGCGATCCAACACATAGTAACAGCCAGATAACGTAAATGGAAGACAAAAAAGCAAAAAAGCTGATCTCTTGATGTAATAGGTATCATGCTTTAGGATTGTGCAAGCGCTAATATGGCTACGAGTGTCATATAAATACAGGTTGTCCAAAAAG